CAAAATTATGAATCTACAACTTTTATTTCTGCAAAAAAATGTTAAAAAAATCGGCAATCAGAATCAGAAATCATCGAATACTTTTTTTTTTTTTGATCTGCAAATTTACATTTTTTTGCAAACCGCAATAATTGATTTTCGAAATGTAAAACAATTGTTACAATCTTTTAAACATAAAATTTAATAACATAATATTCTAAAAACACACATTGATCGCTGTAACCAAATTTCCGCTATTATAAACGAAAAAAGAAATAACTAATTAGGCAAATTCAATTTACCAGAAAATCTTATAGATGTTATTTTGAATGCCGATTATTTATTTGAGTAAAAAGGTTTATAATTCTGAATCCAAGAACGCAACAAAAAAATTATTGAAGAAAACAAGATTAATCCAAATAGTACAAATAGACCGATAACAATAATTTTAGTCATTGCATAAATTAAAAGGCAATAGAATAATAGAAAAATCGTAATAATAATACTTACTTACTATAATAAATGTTACTTTTTAAATGACTTTTTGGTGCTCATATATTTGTTACATGAGGATCAAAACTTTTTGAGTTGAGACTTTACTCTGGTCTTTTCGGATTATGATGCTGACCGACTTTACGTAATTCTGGCTAATCACAATCACAGACGGAATCAGATCGATGATCGATAGATAAATAAATTGGTTTGGTTACACAATTTTTAATTTATTAATCATCGTTTACACAAAAAAAAAAAAAATTTTTTTTCTGTTTTCTGGTTCCGTGACCCCATTTTAAAAACAAACCCATTATTTTTATAGAAATAATTCTCGTCAACGGGCATCACAAATTGTAAAATGCAAAGATGGCTACTTTATTGGATGTAGTTTATGGTCCAACGGAGACAGTTGGTATAGAAAAATTCATGTTATATTAAGTATTTTTTTTATATTATTTAGAGCGTTAGCATCTATAATTGTTCTACAAAACAGTTTTATTCGATTCATGAAGCATCAGTGAGTCATCTTTTAGAAAAAGATGTTTTTATAGAAAATAAAAACTCAGCACTTGGCCGATAGGTTACAGGATGCTTCAATAATTTGTAAGTCATAGCATTTTTATTTATGTTTTAGAAATACCACTCTGACTTCTTTGAATATTAGAGATAATAATCGTGGGTCAGAAGAAGGAAAAAAGATAACAGACGCTCTTGACAAAACCACCACCTTGACATCTTTAAATATTTTCAATAATGAGTTTAGACCGGAAGATATATATTGGATTTTTCACTGCAAAAAGTCAGTTAGTTTATAAATTTATTTATTGTTTAGAATATAGTTTATACATTTATTTATTAAAACACTTATCTGTAGGGATGTTATCGTGCTTGTCCAGACTCAATTTGAGCCTGTTTGAAACCCAAACCTGTTAAACTCGAGTTTTATGATCATGTGATTTTAATTAGGAAATTTTAAACTCAGTACTGCTCATAGTGCTCAAATCGAGTTCGAAATCGATTTCTCAAGCAAAATGTTTATGATTTGTAAT